TACTATATTTTAAATGCTGGTTTGTACTGTTAAAGTTGGTTAACATGGATTTTCCTTTTTTATTTTGGGTAGAAATTTGGTTAAAATCCTGGCCTGGAGTTTTTCTTCATGGAGTTTGTGTGCTCTCTATGGTTTCTCTGCGGGAATTCCAGCTTCCTCCAACAGTCCAACTGTTGAACACGTTAGTTCAACTGATTGCTTCAATTTGCCCTTGGATATATGTGTGTGCATGTGCAATCATGGTTGTGTGTCTCTGTTGCCCTGCAATAAACTGGCAACTTCTCTAGGGTGCACCCTGGCTATTGTCCAGGGACCACTGGAGACAGGCACCTGACCCCCCTATGTACTAGAGGGGGGTCAGTTATGTAGCAACTAAAGTTACTACATAGTTCAAAATACTATGGTTTGTTATGTTCATACTAGTATATGTATTTGAAATCCAGGCAACCACAAAAAGAAGAATGTCACAAATATCAAAGTGCTGAGTACGTGCATACGTACAAACTATGTCGTGTAAAAAGTATAAATTAGCACTTCCTCTCCAGCTGCCTTTTGCTCTCTCTTTGTAACAGGCCCACATTCCTCTCTGTTCTTGGATGTATTTTTGTCTTTCAACTTTCTTTTTCAGGTGGAATGGAAGATTTGTGATAACAGTAATTACACACCCCCACAATGACACACAGACGCTGTGTGCTTGCACCCTTACAGGCAGACACAGAAACATTAATTATAGTGATCAGAAAGCAGTTTTTGTTAAGCCATGTAGATGCACAGTATTTTATGTTGTGTGTCGTGATGAAAAATATGTCTAAATCCTGACTAAATAATGCAGCAGAGTTTAGGAGACTGGACTTTAGGGGCTGCAGCTTTTAAAAATTAATACGTGCGCACGCATGTTGACGTTTTCTTTGTAAAACTTTGTGTTCTTACCGTTTGTGCTTGCATGTTTATGTACAGTGATTGAATATGCACAGTTTGAAGGGTGGGTTCCAGACTGCTTGCATGATTTGGTCACAAATAGAGCATGAAATTACATTACACAACTAATTTTTAATAGTTTTTAAAGCAGAAAAAGTCATTTATTGTTACCACCCACTTTGTGTTCTTAAGTTTACAAGCATAATTTAAACAGTACTTTCTACTTTTCTGTTTAAATTTGATAAACACATTTGTCTCTTTATTAAACTGTTGATTTAAAAAAATAGTCTACAATAAATCAGCTATTGTATCGTCTGTGGTGGTTGGTCTGTTAAAGTTGGTAATGTTGATTGCACATGGAAAAAAAAAAAAAAAAAAACGTTTGACTCATTTTTGAGGTTTTGAAGTAGAAACCTTAAAAATTCTACCCATTTTATCCATGTGGTGGTCACGGACAGAATCTCAGCCGGTCTGGTTTGGGATCTTAAGCGTCTCATCTTTGCTTTTCACATAAGCGAATGAATTTATTTATTTAAGGGTCTTATTGGTGAATGATGGTAGGATGAAGTGAGAGATGAAAAAAAAAACACGTTGAGGCTTTATCTACTATAACTTGGGCGAACTATTGTGGTGAACAGAGAGCCGAGACAACAAGCAAAGCTTTTAACTAGTTTAGTATTCTAACACCCACGTAGGGTCATGTAATATGGATCATGACCAAACGATGCAAACATGGATGCAATAGACCCTCTATAGGGTGTCCGAACTCAACCTTGAACATAGTTTGAGATGCTCTGTCATCTACAGGAAGCACAAGGTAGAGTGTCTGCTTTTCTGAACAACTTCTCCTTAGCATAATGCTTCCACATTGGTCATATATTTCTACCTATTAGACTTGTGAGAGCATCAAACATTTATGCCATACTACAAGCTAAAGGTAGTAGATTGGAAGAAACAACTATTGTCTTTGTTGAACTCCTCCAGGAGTGACAGGTGGATGAAGGTCATTGCAGGATCAAAGTGGTATTTGACTGTCTCGTGGTCTCTCAGTAGGACACATACAGGACTGGTGTTGTCAGTGCCATTGCAAGTGGTCAGGGTTCAATGTGGCTTCTTAAGAGTTTGAGTAAAGGCTTACTTTTATTGACACTGGGTGATTGGATCTGTCTTATACCGCAAAGTTTATTTTTATTCTATCTTCTAACTTTAGTGAATAAGATTTGTAGAAAAAAAAAATCTACTGCAGTACTGGTCAGAGATGTCAGAGGAGTTTCTTTTTTGACCTAAGGTGAGGCATGTGCAGGTGTCTCTTGCCTATCTGCTGTATTGCCATTGAGTTGTGAAGCTCTGTGTATGTATATGAGGAAATGCAGTGGTGAAGCAGAAATAGTCTATCGAGTAGCTTGAACCTCTGGAGAGACTCGTCTACTGCTACAAATCTGCCTTTTCACTAATGAGCTTAAAACATCTGTTCAGACGGTTGGCAGTAGTTGGATATAATGGAAAAAATTAGAATAATTTACTCCAAGCAGTGGTTCTATACAAACAAGGAACAGAAGCATGATGATATTTACATTATTTCACCCATTTTGCCCTGCAAGTCCTTTGTAAAAATAACATTGAAGGATTATTGGGGTGAATGTTTCATTCACATAATGTTAAACAGGGCGTTCTGTTGTGCTTCAGTTCTGTTGCATCAAATTTGCTCTAATTTGCTATTTTGAAGGATAAAATATTGTTTCTAAGCATTCAATGATGCTGAAACTATAATTTGTTGGCAGACACATTTTGAACTTGTGCCTTTACCCTCTATTCACATGTATATTAGTAATTTTTTGGGTGAGAAAAACAAACATTAACACCTCTGCTTATAAGGGATCTTTGTAGGCTTTGTTAAGAAGGTTCTTTATTATGCTTTTTAGTTTAGTAATATCAGATTTTGCCATTTTGGGCATTACATTTTAATCTCACGCTGAAATAACAAACATTTGTGAGACATTTTCTAAGACAAATGTCTTACAAAATTAACTAACCATATTCTGAATGTTTATATTTTTCTGGTCCTTTATTGGTGACATTATTGCTACCATTTACTCTATAATGCTTTTACTGCCATTTCTGATGATCGTCTGGATGTTTTTTCAGAGGCTGAAACAGATGTAGCACTGCAGTGTTGTGTGGATTTCTCACTGAGATTTTATATCCTTTATACATTTGCTACAAGATGTCATTTCTTTAAACTAAATGTGATTCTTGGAAATCAACTCAATTTCTCGCAGCTTGTTTCATCATTCATGTCTGCTGCATGTACTCACTGGCTACTTTATTCAGTACCCCTTGCCCGTACTGGGTTGAATTCCCTTTTGCTGTTAAATCTGTTGGAATTATGGGACATTGATTCGGGGAGGCATTGCAAACTTCACTGAAAGATTTTAGGCCATATTAACATGATTACATCATTAAGCAGAGGATGTTCTGTCAGCTACACATCCATGATGTAAATATCTCTATCCATCACTCTATTGCAGTGAGATCTAGTGACTGAGAGAGAGCAATGGACCACAGTTATCACGTTCAGACAGGTTTAAGATGATTTGACTTTTGTAACATGGTGCTAAGATTGAGATTCATCAAGCCAGGAAACATCTTTCAATTGAGTTATTGTAAACTTTTGGTAAACTGGGATTAAATGTAGCATTACTAGTTTTTAGCTGACAGCAGTATTCTTCATTGTAGTCTTTTGCTACTAGAGTCCATTTGCTTCAAAGTTCAACATATGGTCTGTTCAAAGATGGTATTCTTCATACCTTAGTTGCAAGAAGGACTTATTTTGCTTACTATTGCCTTTCTATCACTTCAAACAGTCTCCCTTTACTTCTGGTCTCAATATGTTCCATCATTCGCACATCTGATGCTCACTGTATATTTTCTCTTTTTGTACCACTTCCCAAAATCATAAACAAGGAGATGCGTGTGCATGTGTGTGTGAAAATCCCACTAAGCGTGTAGTTTATGAAATAGACAATTCTGTAGGACACTGAAGGCACTTTTGCACTGCACGGAACGGTACGGAACGGTTCCGAGCGTGTTCGCATTACAACTTGCGACCGGTTCCACCTGGCCCCATGGAACCACAAGAGCTGTGGTTCCAATCGTGCCGGCCAAGCGGTTCTGCTTAGAACCAGCAACTGATTGGCCGCTGGTTGTCATGGAGTCAGACGTTGATTTTCCGTTGACAGCTGGCTCTCACTACTATATAGTTTTAAAAATAATGACGTCCGGCACCGCTTCGATGGCGCCCTAGTGTAATGCGAACACAACAGGGCTGGAACCGTTCCATTCCGTACCGTACCGTTCTGGTCCGTGCTGTTCCGTTCCGTGTGAAAGCGCCTTAATAGTCATGGCATTGTCAATCTTCATTCCTTCAATGGAAGCCATTATCACAATCATTTTTTTTTGTTTTGTTTTTAAATTCATTGAGTTGTTACCGTGTTATTTGTTGATTATATTACCGAGCAGTTGCACAAGGGTGCCTAATAATGTGACCTGTGAGTGAATCTATCTGTCTAGCTGATGTAAACATTGCCTGGGGCAGAAAAAAAAAATAGTTTGGAACTGCATTTGGCCATCTTTGGGGGATCACTATCTTTTTGCCAATAGATTACGATTGGTAGCAGAGAGAGAGCGTAAAAACACATAACATTTTGTTAGTTTTTCATTTATGCTACCCAAAGAGTCAGTTAACATATGCAAATGGCAACAGAAATCTTACCAGATCAGACACAGAGACATCTCTGTCATTGTTTATCCTGACAGAATTGTTGTCACTGTTTCAACCATGTTGTCGGTAAATCAAGTGTTTTATGGTAACCCACAATGTTGCAGTGAACAAGTTTTATGAAGATAGAGTGAAGGATTAATTCACTGTTAACCATGTTCTGCCACCGTTTTAGCAGTTGCTTTTGTTTATGTTGAAGCAGTGTTTTATGGGACTCTGCTCTATAGTCACCCTAGGCAATTATAGGTAATGATATATGAGTGTGTGCCAGGGGTGGTGGTAGGGTTGCTTAAGCAGGTTGCAAATGGAGAAGAACCCCCTGAGCATTCAGACAGTTAAAAGTGATGGGATGAGAGTCGAGGTGAGGCAGGATAAGTGAGCAAAGATTGTGCTGGATGGATAGGACAGACGGGGTGTGAAAACACAGTCGTGTAGTCAGAAAATTAGTGAGTGTGAAGTCTACTGCTCAATACTAAAGGCTTCATGAACAAGGTTGTTCAATAGCAGATTTAAATTATTTTAAAAAGTACAGGAAAGTCTCTAAGTAGCTTAGTCCGGATATGTAAAAATCCAAAATGTCCATGCCATTCCAGTCAAGCAATTGCTTAGGTGTTGGCTACGAGTTGACATGTATAAATATTTAAGTTGGACAATTAATAATTCATGTAGACAGTTTTCTTATTCTTTGTGTGGAAAGCATGTTGTTTCGTTGCATTTTGTTCCACAAAATGTATTTCAGAGGCTGCTGCTGGAAGAGAGAGAAAATTTGTAAACTCTGAAAACCTTCATTTTAAAATGCAGGCATGTGTGTTTTGGGTTTGCTACTAGCAGACACATAAGCAGGCTTATGGGTATTTGCATGTTTTTGAAAAAAGCTTTGCTGCTTTGATTGATACCTTGAGCAAGTTTTATACCTTTTTTTCCCAGTTATATAGGCCAAGAAGACATAATATCTCTGATTTAGAGCCTTAAGATGCAGTCAATCATATAACCCCCCCCCAAGTATCATACAAAAACCCAAATTACGTGGTGTTCAAATCTTCTACTTTGATTTATTTCCTACAGTGCTGTATGTGATGGTTGTTTTCTTTTGCAGGTGGTGGAGACCAACCTGGTTGCCTTTGATTGTCATTGGATCCTGATTAATGAGGTGAGGGTCATTGAAAGAATGTAACGCTGTTACTTGTGCATTTGGTTCCAGGTATAATTGAAATAGTTCTTACTTGTCTTTCTGGTTTTATAGATGTCTACTTAAAATAGACAGAAGATATTTTTTTTCCACGTTGCACCGTTCATACTCGACCAAAATCAAAGCGCTTTACAAAAAGTGTTAATGTTAGAAGGAAAATGAATTAAGAACAACACATACAATAACAAGTAACTGAAATAAGAAAGTGCACTAATAACATCAAATTCCATGGTTTTCCAAACTACATAGCAACCTCGTTCCAATTAGTAGTCTTTGGCATTCTGTTTCCCTGCAGTATAAACACGACATGACACGTTTTGCCCCTTGCCACTAGGTTGGCCATTAATCCATATTTATCTTCCCATCGCGCACACACACTAAGGGGTGTACAGGAGATAAAAATAATAAAGGAGAACTACAACAAAGTGTAATTTTCAGCTCACCAAGCATCACTTTAACACTTTGAACATTCCACCTGCTGATTGGGAGAGATGCCAGGAAAAGGTTATTTCTGTCCCGCTGTTAAAAATGTAAATATGCAGACTTTGCTCCACTGTACTGGGATTAACTTGAACTATGTGCTGTGTTGAGATGAGACTAACATTGAGCCTTTCATCAACAAACAAGCCAGGTGGGTTTAGGGCCAAAAAAGGATGAGGGAAAATTAGAAAAGAAAAACAAAAGAGAAAAGATGGAATAAAAGGATATGAATGGGGAGTAATTTTTGTAATACACCATAATCGAAACAAGGAGGAACATATGTTTTAAATAAAATCACCATGACAATGGAACTTTGAGGAACCCACATGCAATATATGTTTCCACAGATTTAGAATTTCCAAAGTGGCACAAAGTTGTATCAATCCAAGGCTTCCCCCAGAAAACTTGCCAAGCCCAGTGGTTGGGCGCTCAGCAGTCATTCACCCAGCAGCCTGCCGTGTTTTTGAGTGAAAAAATGTTTAAAGTTGACAGGAAATTTGAAAGTATCACTTGATAATTATGTGCTTTTGGAAGATTGGAAGATTAATATCTGAACACCAGCTATGAAATCTTAAAAAATGCAAACATAAAAAAAATAAAAAAAAACTTTGCTAAGCCTGGTGGAGGCACAAGTAAAGCCTGGTGTCCTGCCAGGCTTATATGACACTGTGGGAAACCCTGCAATCTGCCAAATGAAATCTTAATCAATTTACCAAACTGCCATGGATCTTAATCCACATTTTCTGTCTCTCAATTAATATGTTATTGTCATCTGAGTCAACAGCAGCACTGACATAAAGTAAAATCAAGAAATGCATTTTAGTAAGTTAATTGTCTAAGCATTTCACAATGCTACTCTTAAAGGAAAGACAAGATTGACCAAAATTTTGTTAAATTTGAATGAGCATTTGCTGCAAACCATCTGGCAGTATACATAGTAAATCAAGAAATATTACAGCATATAATGTTATAGTTTTAAAGCTGTGGCTCAAAAGACATTTAAAGACAGAATTCTGAAGGTTAAGACATATGGGGGAAAAACTGTGGTTGATAACTAATATTCTTCAGAGTGACCTGAAGCTTTTAGACCCCATCTCATAATGTATGCAACCTACTGAACCCGATAAGGCAAAGACTTTAAAAAGAACCACTTTTGAGGGAGTAGGCTTTTAGAGAATAGATTAAATTTAGCTTTAACTTTCAAAGATAAGCCACATTCTTTCTTGGGTGACGTTCTTTTAACACGGTATATCAACGTTTTCTTTATTGCATAATTTCGATTAAGGGTGATAACATTAAATAAAAAAATCTATGCATTTCAAAACAAAATGCATCCCAAAGTGAAGGACAATTTGGCACTGTGTATTGTTTTGCCAGTTTCACAGCAACCTTAGTCTAACAGCACAAAATAATAGTGAGAAAGAAAAAGAGGAACAGTTTAAACTGGCCAGCATAAGCCCTGACCCAAATCACAGAAAACCTTTGGAGAGTGCTGCCAAAAGCACAAAAGGACTCCTACAAACTTTAAAGAGCTTAAGCACAAAGAAGTGAATCGGTGATGGAAGCTACCAGCTGACAAGGGACAGCAAGAAGCTTCTTAATAGCTGTAAAGAAAAGACAATAAACATTGAGCTGTTTGCTGCTGAAAAAAGTTTAAATGATGATATTTTATGAATACCATTTATCATTTCACTAGTATTTTTTTCTGCACTCCTGTTTAGTGACTAAAACAGAACAGTAAGTTTTTTTTTTCTTTTAAAGATGTGAAACTTTTAAGGTTTCACATCATTGTGAAACCATTACTTTCACTATCTTTTTCACAAAGTAAAGTAGACATGTTTTTTAAAACGATCAGTTTTTCTTATCAGTTCTAAATACTTAATGTTGTACTGGAGATGGTGTTGAGCTTTATCATACTTTAGAGTTTACAATGTCTTTCTGATCAATTTTTCTGATCCATATTTACATTCACTCATCAGAAGGAATTTTGTCATGACAGAAACAATGATTTTTTTTTTTTTTACTGCTGGCTGTAAACTCATATTAATTTTAAATGACTTTAAAATGTCCTACATTTTGTTCATAAAAAAAAAAAAAAAGAGTCTGAGCTTTCTTCATAGTTAGTGCCATTTCAATAAAGAAAATACATATTTCATCTTTTTAAATCTCTAATTGCTTTCCTTGGGAATGGACTATTTCTTTAAAGCCTTGGGCCTTACTGTGAAATGACAGGACATAACAGGTGGTCCATCCACAAATGGTAGAAGCCTGAGTTGGTGCAAAACAAGAAACACTCCTCGTATCCTTCGGTGTGTCTCAGTTTCTTCCTCTGTGTTCCATTTTCAAGTCAAAGCCTGTCATGACTCTCTGAAATGCCACAAGGCTCAGTGGACCTATTACTTTTGCAGTTATGCCAAGTATTCCTGTTTGAAACAAATGTTTGTATGTACCACATTCATTAATGCTGCAGGAACAACCACAGTCAACCATGCGAATGTCAGCCCTGTTATATGAAGGTTTAGATTTTTTTTTCTTTCTCATATTTATGACAGATGAAAGGCTGGAGCAATATTGTCACCATTTGCTTCTAAATACTTCAGAGAAGCCTTTAAGAATATTTTTGTGGTTTTTGAAATGCTAATACTTGTAGAGGGGAGGGAGATGTGAAGAAAAGAGGAATCCTGGGCTCTGCACTTTAAGGAATATGGCAAACATCAGAACAAAGTATTGGGGAAACAACCGCTTGTATCAGTGACTGACTTCTTTATTGAATTTTTATTTCTCTCCCACCTGCTTCTTAAAGTCAATGTCATTTTAACATGAATAAAGTTTTATAGCTCACTCAAAAGAGGAAATATGTTTTCTGGGTTTTGAAGGCGTAATGTCTTTGTTCTCATCCTTTGTTGGATTTCAAGGTCAAGCAGCTTATAAAGAAGCTGACTACCAGTTCTTTGCCGGAACATCATTTGTGCTTTGAATTCCAACATGAATCTGACAGCAGAATACCATAACAAACACTACTAAACTTAATCTTCCAAACTTAAAAAAAAAAAAAATACAGTTACTAATATGTTTGAAAAGCATTCATATATTCAGTTTATGAGACAACTTTTTTTTAAAAAAAATTATCATTTAAGTACAGCACCCTGGCTCCTGTATTGGTGGCCTCAGCTCCATATCCTCTCAATGAAATGGCCAGATCTCTGTAACGTAAAACTACACTTTCATTAAGATTGATAAGACAGTTCTTTTACTTTTTGTAAAGAGAATAAAATAATAAATGTATCTATGTCTATTCCTCTTTCTTTGTGTCTAGGAAACGTGAAGTTTTGTGCATTTGTTGTTCAGCAACACTTCATGACTGAATAAATAAGATATGGAAATAATCAAGAAATTTTGGACATTTCAAAAGAATATTCCCATTTATCTGAAATCTAACTTTGTAAAGCCACTATTTGTAGTTGGTGTCTTCTAAAAGTTGTAGGCTCTCAATATAAAAACAAGGAGGATTTCTAAAAGATTAGCTAGGCTAATCAACCCTTAACATTCATACTTAAGACTCATTCTTAGAATTCATTACGCAATCCTGAAAGAAATCACATTAACCTTACCATTAATCAATTTGTAAGGCCAGAAAACAGATAATTTTATTATTATAGGTTTTGTTAGTTTTATATGTTTTAGTTTACATGAAAGTAAAATGTTATAGCTACTAGAGGAATTACTACAGTATAAAGTTTCACTGCAGGAGCAAATTTGTGAACATGTTTAAACATGTTTCACTAAAGCTTTTATTTAGAAACTAATAAAAATTGATAAGTTGGCCACAACTATCTCATCGACGATTTAGTTATAAGCACAATATACCAAATGCTATGGATCAACTGTTGATGAGAGCAGAAGAGCTAGAATACATTCTAATGTATAATGTAATACTGTTTCTTTGGAGAATGGATATTTTAATGTGCAAAAGTGCTTTCAATCCCTATAGATTATTATGCATGAGAGGATACTCTATGGTTGTCATAACTCAGCTTTATCTACAGCCAACAGTCAGCCAGCACCACTGAAGGGAAGTTCACAGCTTATAATTGATCATCCTTCCGTCACCCATCACATTCTCTCCTCTGAGGATCAGAGGATTTGAAGTTAGGAAGACAAGAAATGATAAGAGATGCTTACGGCTTCTCTTGCTTCCCGTCATTCGCTTAAGTTTAGGGGATAATTTAATTTTTGATCGTACTCATTCTAAATCTCTTCATCAAATTTAACTGTCCCTCAGTCAATTATCATCTTTGTTGTTATTGTGGAGACTATTTTAAAACTACTTTTTCGTAAGTAATTTTGCTTCCATTAGACCTTTTGGTGAAAACAAACATCATAAACTCATAAGTGAAGATGCTATTTGGTAGGTTATCTTTCTACAAACTAATGTACTATAAAAGCCTCTCTGAAATGAGATGGATTTAGATGGATGTGCATATAATTTAGACATAAGAAAATTCCATGGTACTAAAAAGTTCACAATGATGCAAACACCTAGCATTAGATTAGATTGTAGTATTCTAGGTATCTTAATGGTTTGTTCAGATGAAGAACTCATAGCAAGCGAATGCATTAAGAGATGTAGACATTATGTCCTCAGCCCTGTTCCAGCCATGCTATGTTTTTTCTTTTTCTGATAGTTTACCAAGATGCATGAGAGATGAGTCTCAACTGTTGCTGCTCCACTTCCATTGTCTTTCACTGTTCAGTTCTCCATTAATATTTTGCTTTCGTCATCATCTGGCTTTCTGAATATCTGATTTCCTCTCCAAGAAAAATAAAACATTTTAGAATGTGTGTTCTGACAAAAACAAGGTGACAAATTGTGTGGGTGGCAGAGGTATAACCAGAAACAGTCTTTTTCTCTATAGAGTGGAAAAATAAGGGTTTAGTGTCTCAGACAAAAAGGCGGAGGGATTGGCTGAAAGAATACAGAGCATTGGAGAAAGTAGAAGAATCAGGAAATGGTGCCAAGATAAAGTGAGAATTTTGCTTTTGACTCTCGACTTCGAATAGCGCAGTGAAGACTAGAATTTAATGGCTTCTGGGTGTCGAATGAGGAAGGAGATTGAGGTCATATTTGGATGTTTCTGGGAATGCTTGCAGCCTTAAACTTCCAGTTGATGTAAAAAAAAAGGAAAAATCTGAGCAAAAAAACAATAAACAAAACAAAACAACACACACAAAAAACAAACTCCTGATTTAACTGTCTTCTTTTCCTCCATTATAGTTATGAGGTATGGTAAATGAATAAATGAGATTGAGATCCAAGACTCAAGCAACTGAAAATGTGAAAAATGAGAAAACGCCTTGAAATTTCCTTGTCTGAGCTGCAGTGAGTTCCTGATAACGAATCTCTGCATGTATTCCTGAAACTTGATCTCAGATAAGCATAAGATGACTGAAGCCTAAGACAATAGATGGATACCTTCATCTAAAACAAATTAAGAATATTAAGCCTTGTGTTTAGAAATGGGGTCCAATCGACCCAACATCCCTTAAAACTTGTATCATTTGCCACAGTCCTCTACGTTTCCCTCAGTCCTCGCACGCACAAGGGTTAAACAAAACTATTGTCTTTTATGATTTTCATTTGATCTTACTTTATTGACTTTAGAGATCAAATAGGACAAGGTAAACTTATAAAGACTCACCTGAGTATGGGCTAAATGCTGACTGAGCACAAATAGTTCTCCTTTATCATGACTTGAGTGTGGTTGTGTCCTGTACACACGAGCATCTGCTATTCAGTATGTATCTGTGTCGCATTCGTTTTACATTAGCTGTTAAAGGACTAACAACTTTGAGGAGACTGAAAGTCATACTAGGTGGTGACTGTTTAGTTTGTCCACAGGGGTATGCAGACAAAGAGCTAAATGGAACATGACAGTGGAAGGAAGATGCATGCTCAGAGGACAAAACTCAAAATTATAGTTTCCTGATAAGTTGTTGTTTATAGGGATTGATCTTTAGTATTCCTGTGCACTGCCACGTCTATATTTGTTTGAGTTTAGATCCTTTGAGTGAAGCCGTCTGGATCATTTTTGCCAGCCGATTTTTCTTTGTATGCCCTTGACTGCTTGCAGTGAATCTTAATTTTGTTTTGGCCCACAATTCTGCTGTGCTTAGCAGGGTTAAGCATTTCTCTCAACTCTGAATCTTTTTTTTTTCTTTTTTTGATGGCTTTGTTACTAAATCCCTTTCAGAACTTTGATGAAGACGACTCTTAGAGTTTTGCCACGTATTAACCCGACGAGACAACAAATAAATTCCTTACTGAAGAATTCAATTCCTTAAGGCAGAATTACCCCTTTGTTACTTTTTCAAACTTTTTTTATTTCACGTATGATTTTTTTCACCTCTAACGTGAAAAAAATAAACAAGATTTGACAGAAAAAGGAGTGTAAAAACACCAAACAAAGATACACTACTGCACATAATTAATCTGTAGCAGTTTATTTTTAAAAGAAAGATAGTTTTGCATAAAGGGGATAGCCTATGGAAGAGCCTAATTATTACATGTCACACTGGGTATTCTAATATTGCCTGCAACAATAATTGTACCATCATCATTGATCATACCACAATGACTCTCAAGTCTTAATGAACGTTAATTGCTTTCAATTAAAATCCACCAAGATTAGTCAATGAGGTGTGATACCTTTAATATTATAGCTTCAAATATAAAGGTTGTGTGATAAATTATTTATGTATGTACACGCTCTGTTATCTAAAGTACTCTCCATCCTGTCAACTGTGCTGCCATGTGAAAATGAAAAGATATCAAAGATGTTTTGCATGATCGGACGGTTTCAAAACAACCCCATAAAAAACACTTGCACGCACATTTACACGAATCAGCAAGCTCACACAGGATGTCCAAACAGACACAGAGATAGAGAATCACTGAACATGTATACAAAGAAAGCAAAGGCTGCCTGGGTTGGTGGCGGCGTTACCTCCACCAGGGACGATAAATGTCAGTTCTCATCTTGTCATCATATGACCCCCTTGCACAGAGGATGGATGGAAATCCATGAATGGAGAGCAGCTGGGAGACATGGTGTCCTAGGGCTAAAATTAGCAATGAGTACTCCCTCAAGGTTTTGCAAGGACATACCGAGGACATGCAAACATGCGTGGTCATAACAATTGCATGAGCTTACACATACGAGCACACACGCACACACACAAATGTAATTTCTTTCCGCCTTTCGGGCATGTATATTTTCAGCTTCATTGTACATTTTTATTGGACAACTCTTGAAGGTGGAGTTAATGGAAGATGTTTAATTTAGTCCCCATTCATTTTTTCTTCCCCTGAACTTTCAACTTGTCTTCACTTCTTACCAGTATTTTTTTTCTCTGTTTACACCCTTACAGGAGATCTCGGACTATGACTTACAGGAGTTAGTCATGAAGTCAATTGGCCGGCTGACTTTAGTTCGCCAGATGTTCCCAATGCCGCAAAACACAACTCAGCGCTGTGTCAAACACAACCACAGGATTAACACGTCCCTCTGTGACCCTAAAAGCCCTAAGGCTCAGCAGCTTGAGGTGAGTTCGTTTGGGGATTTGTCCAGAGTAATGATGATCAAAGAAATTCAAATATGCTAAGGAAGCATACAATTATGAATCAGCAACTTTTTCAAGTTAGTGGATGATGATTAGTGTTCCATGACCATTTTATTGTATTTATTTATTTGTAATTAAATGTGTTGACAAAATTTGAGTGTCTAAAGTGCATTGCAAACCATCTATGTTCAATAGATGTAACATTATGGCCACCTAATGTGTGAATAACCCTTTTGCTTTAAAAAAAAAAATAAAGTCCCTACTTGTCAAGGCATGGACTCCATTATACTACCGAGGGTGTGCTGTAGTATAATGCCACCAAATGTTAGCAATAGATTCCTTAAGTCCTGTAGGTTGTGAGTGTAAGTCTCTATGGACAAGTCTGATTTGTTTCCAGCGTCTCCCAAAGCTTAATTGGATTGAGAGTAAGGGAGCTTGGAGGCCAAGCCAACAACATAAAAATGTTGTTGTCCTCTTCAAACCAATCTGAACCATTTTTGCTTCATGACAGAGAACATTGTCCTGTGGAAAGAGACCACAGCCATCAGACCATAGAGTTTCCATCAGGAGAATATGTGGTCTGTAGTAATAGTTGAGTAGATTGTATGTGTAAAAGTAACAACATAATTGGCAGGACTCAATGTTTCCCAGCAGAGCACTACACTTTTCTGTGATACTACAAGGAATGACAGATTGTGTAGCAGATGAACTATTGGAGAGAGAGAAGTCCAGCATTACATTTTGTTGGCCACTAATCACATAGTTGGCATAGCAACAAAACTAATGTTGGCTGTAAATAGTTTGGATGTTTTATTTTTTTTTAGATTGGAAATGGCCACTTTACTAAGTAGCAATTGTCTTAAACATCATTCCAATTATTTATGAATTCTTCCAACTCTTTCCACTGTTTACAGCATGTATTATGCTAACCATCTGTAACTAATTCAATTGACATCAAACAATCTACATCCTCCCTCACTTTTAGTGGAACTGAACTATATGCTAGCAAATGCCAAGGCAGGAAAAAAAAAGCTACTTAAACATTAATTAATTCAAAGAAAAAAAAAAGTAAAGAAAACTAAATGAACTATAATTGGACATTTCTTTTGAATGTTCCAGTCATTTATTAATTTCTATCACAGCATTACCATTACTCATGGTTGCATGTCTATGTAGGGCAGGGGTGTCCAAAGTCGGTCCTCGAGGGCCGGCATCCTGCATGTTTTAGTTCTCTCCCTAGTGGTAGTAACAACCTCCTCAGCAAGTCAATGTTCTCCTTAGGCCTTCTAATGAGCCATCATTTGTTGCAGGTGTGCTAAACCAGGGAGAGAACTAAAACATGCAGGATGCCGGCCCTCGAGGACCAACCCTGGTGTAGGGCAATAGAAAACAATCTCTATCACCACAAACCCCTTACTCAGTAATAATGGTGCTGACCAAATACCAATTGGAGTGGCTTCTTTTTGACATTTTGCCCCTTTGCATTTTAATTATCTGGACAGAGGATTAGAAAAAAAGTGTTAACCTCTTCTCTCTATCTGTTGAACTTTACCTCTGGTAATAAACAAGTTTGCAACTCATTGAATATTACACAAAATTTTCATGTTTAAGGTTTAAAACCAACCTGTACCACTAATAGTAGTTTATCACTGATTTAATGATTAAAAAAAAAAAACATCAGTGCTTTTTACCACTACCACAGGTTTTTCTGAGTACCACATTATTGGACCATTCATTGTTTGTTGTTAAGTTTTAATTGTGAGTGAGTTTACATTGTGCGTTGGGACAAATTCTGAGCAAAGAGATCCAAGAACTCTCACCAGAACAACTTAGTGACAGACAGAAAGGCACGCAAGGCGTAAAACATGAAAATATGTCCAAGTGAATTGTGTGCGTAGCGAGTGATTGCCTGGACTATGAAGATTATTTAGAGCTTAGAACAAACAGTCAGAAAAAGCTATTTTCCATATTTAAAAAAAAAAATGAAACATTTCAAGATGCAAAAAACTGAAACAAAGCTAATCAGATCTGATGCAAAATATGTGAAACATGAGATGTACCACTGACACTGTGGGAGAGCCTGAATGAAAGCTGCTTTTGTACTAGTAGGCTTAAACCAGAGAGGGAATACAGATTTTACCATGTCATTGAGCCAAAGCAGGAATAGGTACATCACTAAATTAACTATATATTAAGCTTAAAACAATAACCTCTCAGAACACTGAAGGGTAACATAAAGATGGTTTATATCCAGTTTGATTCAGCTTAAAAATCGGGAATAAGCTGCCAGCACTTCTTCTATTTTATTATGGTATATTAGCTTTCTTCTGGATTCAAAGGCTTTAGAATGAACAATAATTTGGTGATTTGACATTGATATTACTCGTAACTATGAGGCAAAACTTTTATCAGTGTGGAAAAGTTAGCCCATTCTTTTTCTTTTGATCTGATCTGAAACAAATTTATTTACCTATGTCCAAATAGTGAAAGTCTGTTTTAAGTGAGTGTGTTTTTCTTTTTTTTTTTTTTTTTTATAAATCCTCTAACGGCTGACAGTATATAGGAATGGGTACATCAGCCATCGAGCTGCCATAAAATTGAATGGAAAAAAGGGAAAAGAGTCTTAGTTATGTGTTGGGACAAACTTGTAAAATTCAGTTAATGTTCTCCTGATTGATGTTGTGACACAAGACCCTGGAGGAACGCGTTTGATGAAAGATGGAAATTCACTGGTGACAGAAAAGCGGTCATAATGTTTATGTGGATGGCTCCCTTTCAGGCTGATCCCATTTTATACTTTCATCGACCATAATCATGACACATATGTATGTCCCAATATATGGTTAGGTACATATTTCTTTTTTTATGTGAATTTTAAACGAATTAAGGTAATTTATGCCTTTAAGGTTAATAAAGAGCTCCTGCTGTAAATGATGTGTCCAAATTAAACTTGCGTGTCCAAACATGAAACAAGATCTTCTCAAGGTTAATTAATAATGAAACCCTTTCAACATATCTATTAATTTAATGGGTAAAGGCTGTTAAGTTCAGACTGCTGCTGAGGACTGAGCAAATCCTGTGTTTGTCTCCTGAATATTTGCACATTTTTACATTAAACTGAACTGTTTGCAAGTATCCCGAGCATATGTATAGTTAGTGGTTTACCTTAAAAAAAAGGAAATAGGGGTTGGCAAAGAAATAAATGGGGCAAATGAAACAGGAAGTGGGCTGAAGAAACAGATCAGCTTCAGTCGAAGAGGGGCCCAATTTCACACTGCAATGAAGCACATCAACTCAAACTGACCCCACACACACGCAAACACACGCACACACATAGTGTGTCTTAAATATGTCTTATATCATGAAAGTAAAATTTTTGCACTTATTTCAGAAAGTCAAACTCATAGATTCATTAATCACATAGTGCAGGATCTTCTAATTTTGATGATTATGACTTGCATGTAAAACACAAATTTCCACGTCCCAGGAATTTAGAATATTCTCAAAAAAGATAATATTGAAAACTCATGGGGTCAAATCCTAATCATCCAACTAACTCAAAACACCTTCAAAGGTTTCCTGAGCCTCTAAATGGTCTCAGTCTGGGTCAATAGGCTACTCGATCAGGGAGAAGACTGATTTGTCAAATGTTCAGAGGAGTCATTAACACCCGCCACAAGGAGGGTGAGACGTGAAAGGGCATTGCTAAAGAAGCTGGTTGTTCACAGAGTGATGTTGTGTATTCATAGACAGTTGAGTGAAAAGAAGTGTGATAGGAAAAGGTTAGCCAGCACCATGGACAGCCTGGAAAAGATTGTCAAGCCAAATCCATTCAAGAATTGCAGGAAATTCACAAGAAGGAGGCTGAAGCAAAAGTCAGCACCTGCAGACAAATCCTACATATGGACAACAAGCGTCTTGCCTGTATTGAAGAGAAAACAAAACTAAACTCCGTGATCCAACTTTTCTTTTTCAGATGATGGTAAAGTTTACTTTTGCAAATGAAGTTCCAACTGGATAATTGGTGTAAAACAGAAAGAAGTAAACAGTACCACCAAAAGTCTAAATAAAATAATGATTGTCATCAGCAAAGAAATGTGTCCCACCTTTTCTGTCCACTGTGTTTTCTAAAATGCCCAGTCAACTTAGCCATCTGCTTGGAAATGTTAGATCACGTCATGCTTCTTTCTGCTGACAAAGTTTTATGGAGATGTTAATTTAATTTTCAAGCAGGACTTTGCTCCTGTCCATTCTGCCAATAGTACCAAAAGCTGGTACTACAAACTTGTATGGCTAACAATCTTGTGCAACTTTGACCTTTGTGGAGAATTTAGAGTCAAGAGGAATATGGCAAACATCAGACCTAACTTTGCAAATAAGTGCCTACATTTAGGAACCTGGACTTCCAGTACAACTCAGCAGTGCCACAGGGTGATCACCTCCATGCCACACTTCTGCTTCATTAAAGAGACTCTGCAAAGTATTGAGTGCAAAGAAATTAACATACATTTCGGAGGCTTGGCATTTTTGTTTAAAATATCCTTTATTTAATGATCTTATGCAATATTTTAATCTCATGAGAGATTGAGTTTTCATCTTAAAACCGTTGTCCTCAAACTTACAGAAAATAGCAGCTTGAATGTGTAATGAATTATGTGATTTTTATTTTCCGAAATGTGTTCAAAACTAAATAACATTTTCATGACATCCAAATTCAAAATGTACACGTAAAGCATTTTTTCCATAAGTGTGTACAAATTTCTCAATAACATTCTAAGTTTAAAAAAAGCAGTAAAACGTTCCAACATGATTAGGCAACGCTTAGTAATGCGAGCCAACAGCGAGAATGACAACGATGTAGAATGCGTCTATTAGCCTGGGAATAAATTAAACCATGTCCCTCTATTTTTTTCAGAGAACCTTTATAGGTCTTGTATTCCTCAGTAAAAGGATACTGTGGGGCCCAAGAGCCTCATTTGCTGCATCGTCTTTGTTGTTTTGAATGTTTCTGTCATACATATTGGCAGTAATGGTCTGTCTTGGCAGATACATGGTGAAGGGAGCTGTCACAACGTTTTGCATGAGATGACCCATGTTACAACTCCGGGACATAGCAGCATACATCCTGATTAGCTAGTCTGTTTTAATGGTAAGGATGGTAATAAAAGTGCAATTTTCAGGTTTGACCCTTTTTGTATAGTTCCACTATATCTCATTAGAGTACCTTTTCTTCCTTGTGAGTACAAAGCAAGCTTTAATTCAGTAAATATGTATATTTTAAGTCAAAGACATGTCTTTAGCTAAGCAAAAGGGATAGCAAAGTGGTAATTTTTATATGGTCATATCCTTTGAAGTTGTAAATACAAAGCTGCGGCTTTGTGTGTGTGTCCAAAACAAAGAAACTATACTGCCTGCCTGTTTTTGATGTATAAAACGGTCCCTTCGGAAATTATAGCTTTTATTTCTTTGATGCTATCATGTTCTTTTCTGAGTTTTCAAAAAGAGTAACATATCCGTTTGTTTGCGTGTGTGAACAGATTCATCTTGTTTCGTCAGTCTACTTGATGTCTTTCTCATTAACGTGAGGACAAGAGGCTCAACAGATCAGTCGCTCACAAATCGATTAAAGACTGAATGGACTGTCCTTGTTCCTTCTTGTTCTCTTTTGTACTTATCTGAGTCAATGGCGTATTTGCAGTTAATGCAGTTTTCTTTACATGTTTTTCTGTGCCTGCGTGTGGGTATCTTTTCAAAATGAAAAATAGGGAACAAATGAAAGCCACAGAAAAAGTTAAGATAACTATGTGAAGACCAAAAACACAGAAATGGTAGTTGTATCTAAAATTTATTTATTTATTTTTTTTGTCATTCAGGGGGTTTCTAAACTTCCAAAATGCTTTAATCCAATTCACTAACTAAATTTAATGATCATCAAAATATGACACGCGTACATATTCAAATGGGTTAATGGGAAGTCACATATTTAATACCACAGTCAAATAACTGTTACCTTCGCCTGTTAAGAAAATGTATATCAAATACAACCTAAAATAAATTTAACTTTGCATCACAGACATATCTGCCACCTTGAAATAGGCCTCTGTCTCTTTAAGAACCTCCTACCCTTTCAGACACTCTTAAGTTTACCTCATCATTGTTAACAATGCTTTTTTCATGGTCTTTTACAACTGTGCTTAGGAGCATTGTAATTTGTGTGATAAGCTCAGCAGACATACAGTTTCACCATTTGCTAATTGCTGCTGCCGCTAGTCTGATGGAGCTATGTGGTGGAGGGGCGGAGTAGGGATGCTTTGTGGGGTAGGAGTTCAGCTGTGGACTTTGCACCACCGAATGGCTACCGAAGGAGATTCATGAACTTTTCAGTTATGAATGAAGCAATACTTTGGGTATGCGTTTGATGAGGGAATAACAATATATCATTATACAAAGCTCAAAACACTGATTGTGCATAATATCCTTTTATAAATTATAGAAGATGATGGGATGTTTAATTTTGGCTCTTCATTGGGAGACTATGTCCAAACCATTCTAATTCACATCTCACACTAATCACTTTAAATGTGTTCTCATTTATTTCTTTGCAGATCACCAATCGTTACATCTATGACACCGTTTTGCTGCTGGCCAATACCTTCCACAGAAAGTTGGAGGACAGGAAGTGGCACAGCATGGCCAGTCTCAGCTGCATCAGGAAGAACTCCAAGCCTTGGCAAGGAGGCAAGAGCATGCTGGAGACAGTGAAAAAGGTAGGGTTAATGGAAAAAAAATAAATTACCATTATTATGGCTACAATAGAAATTGACTTGTTTTTTGGGGATGATGTATCAGCAATTCTCCACCTCCTTACGTCTTAGTTTCCTTAAAGTATAGCCAAAGCAAACACAAGGAGTCCAGGAAGAAAAGCTTTTTTTAATTGATTCTTGCCACTGAAATGGCTTTTATGGCTTTTCTAAATAATTTTAAATACCAAAAAATGCAGTTCTTATTTCATGGACCTAATAAATGTATTATTCACATAAAAAAATTAATTCTTTCAATAAACATCACTTTGTCATTATTTTCTAGAGCATGACTCAAACTTTCAGTCATTTTATATTTTCAGTGATTTTCTATTTTTTTAAATAAGAACTTTTGTGTGATTGTGAGATATTTAGGTTATTAGCATTTTATATCTGTACATAGAAAAAAAGTATTAAACTAATTCTAGATTGCATAATACTTACAACCTGATAATTTTTATTTCTTCTTGTTTCTGTACACCGAGATGGAATATGGTGACCCAAAATGAGCTTGAGGAAATGTCATGTGCGCCTGCAGAAAAATTGAGAAATTACAAACAAGATTTGCTCTAATTTTAACTGTCTCCAATATTTTAGTGGTGAAGAAAACCAAATGTTTCAAACTTCAAATAGTGGAGCATGTACTTTAATACTGTTGTAACGACATTAAATCTTCAGGGACTGTGGTTCCTTACGACAACATTGCATAAAATGCATGTAAGGACTGCTACTGCTAAATATTAATTCAAGCTCTTGGAATCATAAATGCGTCTAAAGAAGCATAAAACAAGTTACATTTCATTCAGTCTGGGTTTTGTTCATTGTTTGAACTGGAATTTGAAATATGACACAGTAGACCTTTTGAGCCATACATTAATTCAAGGGCCTCGATTCTTTTTTTTTCTCAATAAAAAAACTATATCATTTAACACTTCTTTTGCAGCAGATAATTTTATTTTATTTTATTTTTGTATTTTAACCTTAAGTTTAAAGTAGTAATTGGCAATTATTTCATCACAGTTAAATTCAATTGGATAGATGCTCTCTGTTTTGATATTAATATAAAAATGACTCGAGGGATAGCACTTTGACTGAATGATGAAATGCTAATTCAGAATTAGTGTCAGAAAATAATAAATGTGTTGCAATGGCTTTCATATCCATCTTTGTGTTTCACCTTGAGATCAGGCTGGGTTTGGCAAGACTTTCATCAGCAAGTTTTGGCTATTTAACCAAGCCTGATGACTGTCTCAACAGAGATGTGTTAAAAAGCCCCAAGTGGTAATCGAGTTTAGTTCAGCAGTCTGGCATCGGTTCCATTTTGCTGTGTATCAGCAGTGTTTTTTACTCACTGTGCATGCCTGGGTGTTTAATCAGTGTTTTGGTATGTGAGGGCATTATGATAATGATAAATACTAATTTGCACTTGCTGATGAGGGGCTCTATTGATGTTGCTTTTTGGTTTCTATTGACAAATTCAGAGTGGGGAACAAATTGAAGCAGGTGAAATTGCTCCTCTTAGCCTAAATTATGTGTTGCATTTGTGCTGTTGGCAGACTGTCATTGCTTTAGATATTGCTGCCTTTCAATCTCAGTAACTCCATCATTTTAGACTTGGGATTCCTGTCAACATTTCCTCACCATTGTGGAAGTACAGGAAGCGTAATTCAACCATTTTGTTCACTGTGTTGGGACCAGGGACACGTCTAAAACCTGCAGGGTGGAGGACTAGATTTGAGGATCCCTGGCCTGGAATATCAGAATGTGAACAGGACAATATGTTCTGACAGAAATGCTCACTGCAGATTTTGCATCAAAGATTAAATTGAGCAATCTTGTTTAGAAAAATCAGACAAGTAGGAGACCATGCAAGAACAATATCAGAAAGAGAACATGGGGGATGCACAAAAGCTTTGACATCAGTATTGTTCCCTTATTAAAACAGAAGATGGCATCTTTGAGTTTTCTTAGATGCGCAAAGGTTAATCACCTGTTGATGATGTCAGATGATGCCTGGCTGAAATCCACTCAGACGATACAGATAGACATGATTCTTTCCTGAACTATAATAAGTCTGAAAAATGACTTGATCCTTTTCTCAGAAACTGAAGCCCGCCTCTGATGGTGTCGGTGTCATAGGTGGTTGTAAAATCTTTTAAAGAACCAGGGTTCTTTAACACTGTGAAATCTTTTATTGTCAGTGTTTCAGAAAAAGTCCAATGTCCAGATGTGTTTGTGTGCAACTGCCGTTAATCAGATTATTCAATATCCTGCAAGTTACACAGGAGGCGATGAGTGCCTACCAAATGCATATTCACACCTCTGCATCCTGCTGTGTTTGAGAGCCCTAAACCTCTTCACTTCCATGTTCTTATCCAAACACATTAAAGAAAATGGATGTTAGTAAATAATCCACTTCATCCATTGTAATGCCTGCCTTCACACCATGTCCCCATCTGCAGAAAGCAGCATAAACAGCTTCTCAATGTACATCTATTGTCACTGGGTAAACCTTTGGCTTCTGAACTAGAAAGGCTTAGTCCCAATGAATAGCAAATGAAGGGGGTTGGCCCAATGCCCGTCAATCACTCTGCAAAATAAAGATAATACCGCTCTGTTTTCTTTAGCCTGTAAAACAACAAACAAAAAAGCAGGCCACATTCAGAACGTTTCTTGAAGGCTTTGTACTTATTATTAAAAGCTGAAATGATTTGTTTAAAAAAATTGTACACAAATGTTGCCTGAAAAACCGGGTCAGCTTACCTCTCCTAGCGTATTAGTATTCATTTGAATTAGTTGTTGTAGCGAATGTAAACAAAAAATGGTTAAATGTCACAGTGAAATTGCCCAGCACAAAACATACGGATGTAAAATGGTAAATATTGCGAAATAATCCAACATCTATGAAAGGACATTTTCCGTTGTGCTTGCAGTTTGGAGTGAGCGGTCTTACCAGTTTCTTGGAGTTCACCGACAATGGCACTAATCCCAACATCTTCTTTGAAATCCTGGGAACAAACTATGGAGAGGACAGGGGCCGAGGAGTCAGCAGGGTAAGTAGTTAAAGCAGATTATATCAAAGTCACATACACAGTAATTTCAGCATTTTATTGTCTCATTTATTTATTTATTTGTCTACAATTTTAAGTGCTATGAATAAATGAATCCAAGGCAGAATAAAATCCATCAAGTTGTAAAGAAATTAATTGATTACTTTCCTTATTTCACTGTCTCCCTTGATCCTAGTTGTTTTGGGTTTTGGTTGGGTCAAGTACAATGACTTCAGCTGCAGCAGCTCTCCTTCTGTTAAGAGCAATGGTAATTAGATGCCATTTTAAGTGACATTTTGTAATGGTAATGGTTGCATAATGATTGCATAATGAATTTTAACAAGCCTCATGAAAGACTTTCTTTCTCCTTACAACCACATAAATTGTCATAACAGAGTATTCATTGATTTTTGTCTTTGTGTGTTTTAATTATTTTTGTTTATGCTGGTCTGCAGTATTCATAAGAGATAATAAACGTATAATTAGTGATCAGCACTGTAAACTGTAAAGGATAGCTTTTTAAATTGTAGTTTTTACCCCGATAATAACATGTACAGTGTTGTACAATTAGAGGTCACAACATATAGTATTTGTAGGTGTTTACAGTTAATCTTATTGATTTTATCTGCCTTTCTAAGTAATGCCAGGCCGCATTGTGAGTGATTTCTGTCCTTACATTGTTTATTTGCCTACTTGATGAGGCATTGAACTGGGCGCAAGGGCGCACGCACCAAACCACACCATTTGCCCGGCTTGCGTAAGCTCTTCACAAATGCCACAGTTGACAAAAGTTGGACATAAACACACACTCATACTCTGCTGCTCACATGCAGGTGGACGCCTATGCCAATTTGTTTCTGTACTAAATGCAACAAAAAAGTTGCAAAGTTGGCAAAAGTAGGCTAACTATTGTGGAACGCAGCCCTCTCTGACTATTGTCGTGGGTAGAAAAGATCGGTTTTACACGTAAGCATGGACTGATTGTCTATCAACCTGCATACCCCTAAAAATAACCCCCACTCCAAGTCAAGATCACAAGGGGAAACACTGCTTACTCTATCTTCTGTTTTGGAAATAAATAAGTTAGTAAGGATATTTTAGAGTTTTTCCTCTTATAAAAACTCTCTAAATTCTCTAAGTGAGGGTGTAATATAATTACACCTTCACCTAAGTTGAATTCTTCAATAAAACAACAGAAACAATTATACTGCTGGTTGCAGGGAAATAATTGTCATATATGGGAAAAAAAGACATCTGCTTACACTCGGGACACATTTACATACCACCAACATGCAGGGTGCAAAGAGACGCAATCAAAAATTGTCTCAACCAGAAGAATCATTTTAGATATCACAGGACTGTGATTATGGTTAATGTGGGGATACACCAACATAACAGAGCATGCCATCACAGACAAAATTAATCTCTGAAGCATAGTATAATTACATTAAAGTAAAATTCCCTAATCAGAGAGCATAATTACTTCTGAGGGAATTAAATCAGTCTTTGCATAGCTTTTGTGCTGCCGTGTCTGTAAATGCTCTTTTGTCCGTCAGTGGGATTCAGTTCAATTCTAGTGATGCTAGAATAGAATTCATTTTAGTGCACGTTTTATGTATTGTAGGGTTTAGCCTTTCAGTCTTGATGTTTTTCTTAACGTTTTTATTTCTAATAATACACTATGTGAACTACATAGGGTTAGAGAAAAACTTCCGTGCTGTAGCTTTAATAAGAACCCTCACAAGTCAGTGACTTATATTTATTATGTTTAATTTTTTGTGCATTTTAGTTTCCCTAAAGATATATTAACATTTGACTTTTTTTTTTTCTATTTCATGCTGTAGGCTGCATCATCTTTCTGTGTCTCTCTGGTTGCCTTTAATCCATATTTTTTCTTGCATTTGTGCTTCTTGAATAAAAACATGCTAAACTGTTGAAAAGGGTCTGGCTGACACTATTAAGGATATGCATGAAGTCTTAATAATGTCATTAACACCATATTCTTCTGAGGATAGTGGTTAACCTGAGCCTTTTTTCTATCTCTCAGTATTGTTTTGTCTTCTCTTTGAGGCCTTTTTTTAATTCCTGCTGAGAGTCTCATTAATGACTAGCATGCAGACAAGCTTTTATTTTCTCCTATCTCACCTTAATTAAGACACTGAGTAACTCAAACCCTTCCCTTTTATTTTTTCTGGATGTTTTTTTAACTCAGTCTTTTCGCTTTCTTGTCATTTGGAGAATTGTCCTTTCTTTCAAAGTGTCCAGCCGATTAAGTGACATTTATTCTCAACCGTACTTCAGGAATGCTGTCTAGTATAATGATGATGCCAAAAAAACTGAGATAAGTCATAAATAATATTCCTGCATGGGGTTTCATGCTTCTTTTTGGTTCATTAGCTTCAGTGGTAAAGGAGATGATGTGGTTCTCTGTATACACCTGGAATCATTGCAGAGTGTTACAGATCTTACAGAGTGGAGATAAGCTTGTCATGTCTAATTGAATTGTCTACTTTCTATAACATATTAAAGGACTTTCAAGAAAAGAAAAAAAAAACAGCAATATGTACTTCATAGCTTGTGCAATAAAAGCGCTGAGGATACATGAAGAGATACACAGAATGAATTAGTTAAGCAGGGAAAACTAAAATGTAACAAGCAGAGGAGCATGGAATATGGCCATAGATGGCAGTCTGTTCCAGAGAAAGAGGTGGAAGCTATGGGCCAAAACGAGTCGCAGTCTGTACTCTCTTGAGGTGTTTTCACACTTGATAGTCAGGTAGACTCGTTTTGATTGGTTTCAAGGATTGCAACATTTGTTACATTTTCACACATCACAGTGTCAAATGAACCAAACCCTAGAAAAACCAAAAAAGCACAGTTCGCTTTTTTGATCCGGATCAGAGTTCAATTGTTCATTCACACCTCCTCAAACAAACCAGGATATTACATTCCAAATACAATACATTTACTTTTTGTGTACCAATTATATATTTGGCCAATTGAACACCAACTGTCCTTGCTGCCAATGTGTAATGGAAAGGATGTACATCACTACCTGTAAAATGTGAACTACATTTACAGCTAAACTCAATCTAAACATTTAGTGAAACACTCAAGCCCTTTGCCATTTACAAGTACTTGCTTAGGGGATTTGTTAAGGACCAGATATAAAAGAAAAAAAAATCAGAATACACAAAGTTTTTCACCTCACATCCACAAACTTATTTCTTTTTTTGTGATTTTATGTAATAAGCCAGTATACATTAATGCATATTTTCCTAATTAGAACAGTGTGAGTGCCCAGACTCAAACAAGGACAAAGTTGTTCAAAGAGTAGAAAAGTTTATGTTTAATACTATTTAACTATTTAAAAATAGTTAACAAAGCATAAAGATTCAATGCAAGAATAAATCAAGGGATAAATAATGGATTTGTGCCCAAATTAACTGAGATCAACAGAGCACTAGCACAAACAAGACTGACCTACAAACAAAGAACAAAAGGCTGCTTAAGCAGAGGTGGATTAACCTAAATCTACCACAAATACAAAATTAACTAAAGCATCTTATGAAACAAATAAAGCAAAACTAACGATAACTTAGCACAAACAATAAAGGTGAACATTTAAGAGACAAAATTAACAAATTAAAATCAACTTGACACAACAAAGTCTTTCAGAAAAATGGTTTGTTCCAGGTTTCCTCCTCCAGCTGGTTTAGCTGCACCTCAAACAAAAGAACAAGTGTAAGTAAACCATTCAGACAGACATTAACTAAAATGTGCACCCATTAGAAAATATATGTTTAAATTAAATAACTAACTTAAGCATACTATAAGCTGTAACTACTATAAAGAAAAAATAAATATTAACACGATGTGGTGGTGGTAGGAGCATCCAGCACAAACAGGAACATATTCTCGGCAATGTCACACATATTCTCTAATCATCATGGATGCAGCTGTAAAGCCCAGCTGTAACATCTAAGATCATGAGAACATAATGCTCTTCTTAATGAAGTCATATTACACAAGGAAAAACACTACTGAACCAAATGAAATATTGTAAAAAAAAAAAAAATATATATAGCAAGACAGTGTAATTTACATGATATGGAACGACTTTAGTCTCATAAGAAAAAAAAGATTTTGGAGGTATTTAAAAAGATTACATTAAAGGCAGAAAAATGAGATAGAATAATTAACTTGGTAGTTTACAGTAATTAAATAATACGGTGATTTGAGGTAAATCTATAAGGTAACATGCCCAAAGCTAAAAAAAAAAAACAAAAAAAAAAAGATAGAGAAAAAATATCTCCAAGGAGAAAATATATTATTTCTCTTTTATCCATCATATTAGGTAGATTAGTATGAAAATTTATTCACTAAGTCTTTACTACTTCAGGCAACATTGGGGGAATGAAAAAAAAGTTGTAGTGGGATAAAAGGGCGTGAAAGCAGTAAATGATGGGGATAAAGAACTCGATTGATTTAAGTAAACAGCATTTGTATGAATTTGTCCTGTTTCATAATCTTTCCTTCACTACTTCTCGCCATGCTATAAATTTAGCCATTGCTGATTTTCAGAAATTAAGATAAGATGGTGATATTTTTAAAATGTGCTTTTTAGAGTTAATTGAAAATACAGTTTCAAATATGCTGTATTTTAAACCTCTTTAAGGTAGTGACAGTGGTAGGAATCTGTTCTGTGGGTTATCGGTTTGAATACCCATTGTGTCCTTATGCATGGCAGCCTTGCTCCTATCAGACAACCACAAAGTAGTCATGTCTACAATATGATATCGGCCATTTTAAACTTTGAATAATTACTGCAGAGCTTAGTCATCCTTTTTGGACTTTGGCATTTTTTATTATTATTTTTTACAAGTGAAAAAGAGTTTTTTTGTTTTTTTTTGTAACAAAATTTTGCTAAGTCGTAAAAATAACATCAATGGACTGTCCTATTCTTCACTTTTTAATTTAAGCAATAGGAGAAAGACAGGTGC